CCTATATGTAAGACTGTGATAACTGAAATACTCAGTTTATAGAGTTGCAAGGGGGGGAAAAGTTGAAGAAATAACCACTGACCACTTCAATGAAAAGTCACCAGAATAGAAAAGAAACCCCCTTTAATGAAAACCTTACAAAATTCCCCAAATTGCACATGATTTTTAATAGACTACAGCCATTCTCCTACGTTTCTATTTTATTTCTTGGACAAGAGGAAAATACATTATTTATGCAAAAGGGTAGTTAGCCTTTCCAACCACAAACACATGGCCCATTAAAAAAAAATAATAAAATCCCATTTTTCTATTGTGCAACAGCTCTCTGTATGGCAGCAACAATGTACAATGTGCTAGTTTCCTGTTACTTTGCTAGAACCTCCCCTTTCACTCACCGCCCAGACTAAATAGTTAGTCCTTGGATAATAAAGCTGTAACATTGAGTTTCAGGCTACTTCCAAAAATGTTTCTGCTGTCTTAAGAAATAATCATATCAGGGTGCTAATAAACAGAAATGCACCATTAGTTGAGTATGTTGTCACAAATGGCTAAAAAACATATAAATCAATCTGTGACCAATGAAGAAACAATATATTTCTTATGTGTCCAAAACATTATGGTTGGGATCACAGCTGTAAGATGTTGGACCATCATCAAGAGAGCAATGTCAAACACTAAACTTCTGGATGCTTTCCACAAAAATAACATTTTGTTTGGTGTTAGTAGTTTTTATGGAACTTTGGAATGATTCTCACTGACAGTTTCTCAGAGCTGAACTTGAGCACCTCCAAAATGCTTCCAAAATGGAAATATTATGTAACCGAACTTCGCAGCCATCTCCCGCTGCAAACCAAGTACATACTACGAAAACCAGCATTTCTCTCTTTCAATGTTTGCCGCATTGTAAAATGGAAAGTACTGGTGTCTATTCAGGAAGGTAAATTTATTCTTCTCTATTTTTTTCTCTTAGTTTCCAAGTTCATGTCAGCACGTCAAATACATAGTCATTAAAACCAAAACCAAACCCACTGCCACCAAGTCATTTCCTCCTCATGGCAACCCTCCATCGAGTTTCTGAAGCTGTAAATATTTACTGAAGGAAGCAGCAGCATCTTTCTCCTGCACGGTGGCTGGTAGATTCAAACTGCCAGCACTTCAGTCAGCAACCCAACATGTAACACTACGCTGCTGGGTTCCTTTTAATCAATCACTAAAGCTCAGGGGGGAAAATGAAAATAAAATCAATTAAAAAACCTGGAACCTTTCTGTAGATATTTTTATCAACCTAGAGAAGTTTTTGTTTTGTTTTGTTTTTTAAGTAAAAAGAGTAATGGAATTGAAGAACCAGTGTATGAGTATTCAGCCTCAAGCAAAATGGTCAGTTCTGTGTTTTGGGTTTTGGGGTTTTTTGTTTTGTTTTGGTTTGGTTTGGTTTGGTTTGGTTTGGTTTGGTTTGGTTTTGACTCACCTCTGTTTATCCATAACTGACAGTTACCCCTCCCTGGTCTATGTCCTTGATTTGTTAACTGTTTTTTTCTAGAGCCAGAATTTTAGAAATGTGTTATGTTGAGCTCAACAAGGCAAATTTTCACATATCAACTGGAAGATTTTGAAAATATATTCTTATAACAAAGCTAATTGTGGCATGAAAGAATCAATCCCAGGGCACTGTAATGGCCTAATATATCTGTGAAGTATCTATAATACTCTCCCTAGGAGTCCATCACCAGAGTTCACGAAAAAGAAAGCCAAACCAGTGAATTCAGTATTTTCATCTGTTTCAGGACATGAAAATATTTTGGTTCTCCCATCCAAATAAACTCTGCAAATCACTTTGCCTGAAGTGACTTTATTGTAGACAGACATAAATTCCAGTGCTATATGAGTCAATATGTGGGAATATATACTATTAGAATTTGTCCTATATCAAATAACAGGAGGTTTCTCATTTTCATTTCCTATGATTTTTAGTTAAGTCAGTAACTTCTCATAGATAATTATGCATTAATGAATATTTCTAAAGTCAGGTCTTCAAAAATTACTTTACCTTGTAGATTTCACATGCAAAATGTGAATGTTAGGATATCTAGTCAATTTACTGTTAAGAAATAAATAAAAATAGTGCATCCAATTTGGTGACAAACACATGTATTTTGACTATTGTCTGCCTCTGTACGGCTCTGGTAACATAGTGGAAAGAAGATGCACTGACAATCCAAAGGCAGGTTCACATATGCCAGCCGTCCCTTGAGAGAAAGATGGGCAATCTCCTCCTGTGCGATTGATTTATAGCCTCTGAAATTCTCTAGAGACTCAGTGATGAGTCAGTTTTGACTCAGCGACACATAACAACAAAACCTTTGGTGGTTCTCCACTGTCAACTGAATGTTCAGTTCTGCACTCTGGCCGTCATGTACATTGCAGTATGAATTCCCACTTCAAAACTTTAAAGATAGGTTGAGTTCATTTTTTAAAAATGCTTCATAATGTATTCAGATTCATGGTCTCCCTGGAATTCAGTATACAGCCAATAAATATCTCTTTGATTTGTAGAAACACAAAATCCCTGCTCTAGTAGATAGAAAGGTCTGGTGGCTTAATGGCAAGAAGCTGTGCTGCAATCCCAAAGACACAGGGTTTGAAGCCACCAGCTGCTCTGCAGGAGGGTGGGCAGTCTCCTCTCATGCAATTCACTGCCTCTGAAAACCCACTGGAGGGTCAGCTATGGGTCAGTTCCAACTCGATGTTAAACAACAACAATAACAAGGTAGAAAGGGAGCTCTGGTGGCCTAGTGGTAAGAAGCTGTGCTGCAATCCTGAAGGCACAGGGTTCAAATCCACCAGCCGTATGGAAGAAAGATGGACAATTTCCTCTCATGCACTTAACTGGCTCTGAAAAACCTACCAGTGGGTCAGCTACGAGTCTGTTCTGACCCAACAGTACAACAACAACAAGAAGAAGTAGATAGAAAAATACCATGAAGTCAACTCTGATTCACAGTAACCTATGTACAACAGGAACAAAAGGTTACCCAGTCTCGTCAAGTTCACACTCACTGGTCTGTCCTAGTCTGTCATTGTAGTTGTTTTGCCGAGCCATCTCACTGAAGGTCTCCTTCCCTCTTTAGCCCTCTACTTTACCCAATCTCGCATCCCTCACTAGCAGCTGATCCCTTATGGTGACAAATCAAAAGCAAGCCAGTCTAGCGATTTTTTGATGTTATCCTTAAGGGTTTCTTTGGTTGATTTTTTTCAGATGTAGACCACCACACCTTTGTTCCTCATGTGTCTTAATCTGAAACCTGCCCAACAAGACAAAGCATATCAATAGTCAAGTAGACATAGTGCAGCCATAGTCCAACAAACTGGCAGATGGTTGGTGATAATGTTGTTGTAATTTGCCATCAATCCAGAATTGACTCATAGCTTACCTGCTAGCAGGTTCTCAGAGTCTGTAAAACATGCAGAAGGAGATTGTCCATCTTTCCCCCATGAAGCAGCTTCTGAGTTCGAACTGGATGCCTTTGGGTTGGCAGCACATCTCCTTACCACTAGGGCAGGATACCATCATAATTGAGAAGTGGTAATCAGGAATGGCACCCACTTCCTAAACAGCATGCCTCCAGAAACTCTATGAATTTTGATAAATGTAGATAGTTATAGAAAAGCTTTTTTGTTTTTAGTTTTAGAAAAGGCCTTTTGTTCATAGGGTCGCAATGAGTCGTGCTTGACTCAAAGGCAATCAACAACAACACAATCACCACAACCCTGAAGAATATAAAGTGCATCAATTTTAATATAAAAATATCTTTGTTGAAATAAAGTACATGTATTCTGGTATTTAGATTGATTCTCTGCTAGTAGTTGGAATACAGATATGTCAGCCTAATGTAAATGTGTTACTGCTATTTGGGAAAATTTGAACACAAAATTGTTACTTAAATAGAGGTCAGATCAGATTTACTCAAAACACAAACTCACTGCTGTCAAGTCAGAACCAACAAAGAGCTGACTCTTCACATTTCTGAGCATGTAAATTGTAGGGGAGGTAGTTGTCATCTTTTTCCCTCTGAGCTTCTGGTGGATACAAACTATTAGACGGGTAGTTGAGGTTGTTAGGCAGTTAGGCCTTTGGGTTAGTAGTACAATTTCCAATGGAGTATATGCAGCCAGAGATCAGATGTTTGTTGTTATCACTGATGTTATTATGTGCCATTGAGTTGCCTGCTACTCATAGTGATCCTATGTACATTAGCTCTGAAGCCTGCCTGTCCTGAGCCAGTTTCACTGATTCCAACACACCTACCCCCATTGCCCCAGTTACTGTATCAATCAATCTCATCTGCAGTCTTCCTCTCCCATGCTGTCCCTCAACCCTTCCGAGCATGATGTCCTTCTCTAAGGACTGGTCCCTTCTGGCCACATGCCCAAAGTATGTAAGACAGAACTTCAAAATCCTAGCCTCCAAGGAGAAAATTGGTTTCATCCTCTCCAAAACAGACCTGTCTGTTTTCTTGGCAGTCCATGGTATGTACAAGACTCTCCTCCATCACCACAACTCAAAGGCATCAATTATTCTTCTATCATCCTTAGTCATTACCCAGCTCTCTGATGCATAGCAAATAATCGTGAAGACCATGGACTGGATCAGATGCACTTTGGTCTCTAGACTGACATCTTTGCTTCTCAGTACTCTGGAAAGGAGATCAGATGTAGATGTTAATAATTTCTTTGTTGTTAACAAAGCTATTAAAACCTTTCTATTAAAGAAATATAAGTAACTACTATGTAAAATAATCTGCTTCATTATGTTGTATATGTATTTCATTTTGCAATTATCTGAAAATATTGTAAAAATGGTAAGAAAGAGTAGCTGGTTGAACAATTTAAGTAGTAGATATCTGGTATCTTTGAATATGGGGTACAAACTTAGAGAAGTTTAACTCATTTTTTTAAAAAAAAATAGAAAAGCCAATTTAAATTTAATCTTTTCATTTCAGGCAAAAAAGGAAGGGAGAGGAAAAGGAAAAAACTTAATAAAGAAGAAAGTAAGGAGGCAACACCTGACAACAAAGGTCTGGAGTCCAGCAGAGAAAACCCAGAACAACAAGAAAACAAAGAGAAACAGCAGCAGAAGAAGCGAAAAGCCCAAGACAAACAACAGAAATCGGTATCCATCAGCACTGTACACTAGAGGGTCCCAGAGCTTGTTGTAGACTCACGATGCTGCTATCTCAACCAGATGCCCAGGGCAGGTGCTCCAGCCAGTAAGACCACAAATGGACATTATCAGTTACTGCTCAGTCTAAACAACATTCCAAATAGTTGCTATATTCTTCATACAAGCATAGTTAACAACCAAAAGCCAAAAGTTCAAAGAAGGGATACTTTTAAATGGTTATCTTATATGCTTCTATACCTTATTAAAGAGACAAGACATTCTGTACATAATTACCAATAGGCTATGTGATGTAACAACATAATGATGACATCTGGAGAAGCAACAGCATTTCCCTATAAAATGTTTTTGCAAGCTATCGTTTTAAGAAAGAAAGGGGAGTTATAGTACCATTTCAATGAGGCAGTATCCCTTCAAAACAAGTTAGAAATCAAGGGAGAGAAACATTATTCAAAGTACTGTGTTGTTTTGTCTAGATCTAGAGAAAGTTCAGAGTTAGAACCTGGCATTTGGAATCAGAATTTATCATCACAGAAGCAACTGTTTTAAGATTGGTTCTATTGCCTCTGTTGCATCCTGTACTTCTACAAGAAGTACAGATTTGAATATACTGTAGGGAATTGGAGAATGGCAAAATGTAGGAAAAAACGCCCATAGAGTTGGAGATGAATTTTGTGCTTTATAAAACTGTGAAGGGTTGTAATTCCCTGGAACAACGCTCCAGTCCATGTCAGCACTATGTGGTTTAGCACTCTGCTATCCTTGGGTTACACATCTGTAAACATGTACTATAGCATATGTCAAAAAAAATCATAATTATTAGAAGAAAATTCTGATTTCATAGAGGGGAAACTAGAGCAAGGAGAGTATAACATGTTTGCCAAGTTGTGTGTTTTCTTTTTTTCTCTGAATGAAGCAAAAACCGTTTTATTACCTGCTTAATGATCCACCAGGAACTTAAAGGGATACTTCTAACAAGGTGTATCTAGTAGGGGAGAAAGCCACCACAATAAATATATTTGTTGATAGTTTGTAAAGTTCTACTCATTTTTCTTTGTTGTGTGTGTGTGTGTTTCAATTACTAAATTAGTTTTCTTATACCATGAAATTCATGAATTAGGAAAGAGAATTAATTCTGTTAAAGTAGAGAACATGTTACATTTCTGTGCTTGCTATTTGAATCCACATTTGGCTCAAAGATTTATTCATAGGATATTATTGTTGGGGTAATGCCCAGTCATGTATTAGGAGATAATTATTCACTATTTTTTCTTAATTCCATCAACAAATTTTCTAGTTAAAATTCTTCCTACATTCTTGTTGTCGTTATGTGCCGTGGAGTCGAGTACGACCCACAGTGACTCTATGAACAACAGATCTGAAACGTACCCTATCCTATGCCATCCTTACACCTCCTGACACACTAGAGCCTGTTGTGGCAGTCACTGTGTCACTAGAGGGTTCTATGTAGGTCAGCCTCGATCATTTCGTGTTCCCTTCATTTTTCAGGCTTTAGAACCTTTTCTTATATGTCCCTTCCTCCTGTAGCATCAACATTTGCCTTTTCTTCTTCATATTTTCTCAGTCTGTGGACCTCTTTTGGAGATTGAAGTCACCCTAGCTGAAAACTCACCAGTGTTTTTCACAGAGGACACTGCCACCCCAGTCCAGGAAGAAGCATCTCTGAGCGTGCAGCGCAGAATGTTGTGTAACGTGAACCTTCCGGTTGTTCTGGAAGGGTGCACAGCTGCTCCGCCCACCACTCTCCCTGGCCCTGTCAAGATCACTCACTCACTATCTTCTGAAGACTATGCAGTGACTCTGACTTCTGGCTGCCTGTATCCAGGCATTTTTGCTCTACCAGCTGTCCTGTTCGTGTGCACTTAATTGATTTTCTATTTCTCTTTTCTTCTTCCAAGATATAAAAAATTTTGAATGATACATTCCTCTTTTTCACTCTGGTGTTTGCTTTCTTGTCGTATCTGCAGGAGATAAATGCTTTTCCTAACTAGATCTCTTCCAGATGTATAAAATGATTCTATCTTCAAGTAAACCATGTACTACAAAGGAGAAACAAAGCTTTTCCTTCAGAACTAGGAGGAAATATGTTAGGTGGAAGTTAAGGGATAAGACCTTGACTAGTTTGAAACACTATCCTTTTCCTCAGTGCTATATAGTCAAGCATAAGTTGTCAAATTGATTTGATTTTTTCCCTATTATTTATCATTGCTTAATTCATTCAAGATACATTTACTGGGAGAGGTCTGCTTCCCTTAGCCTCCCTCTGCAAAGCTGGAAAAGGGGGTTAATTCACCAGGACATAACTACAGAAGTTCTTGGGATGAAATGACTCCAAATGGGCTTGAGTGGGCAGGGATGATGAGGATAGGAAAGGTTTCAGGTATGTTATTCGTAGGGTCACTGTATGTCATATTGAGTTCAACACCAGTCTATATGAGCTGGGTAGTGGTTGGTGGCAACAGGTGGCTGGTAAACGCTCAATATGAAGACATAAACAAGAGAGGACAGCGACATAAGGCATTTTGCATCATACCTTGGTCTCCAAATTGTGTCTCAAGGTTGAGGAAAGGCAGAGTAATTTGACAGAAAGACACTTGCTTTACAGGTCAGAAAATTTGAAATTTAGTCTCAGGTGTATAATCAAGACAAATCACCCAACTGTTCTCTGTCCCCATCTCTGGTGAACAGCATGAAAAAGTTGAGCTGGAGTTGACCTCTGTAGTCCTGCTCAGGGGGACCACTTGACACTTCTCTTAATTTGTGGTGGTGTACCTAATAAGTCCTCATTGAAGACATTGTAATTTGGGTTCAGCAACTAATTTCTCTCAAAAGTGTAAGTATATGGCTTTTTAAAAAAAATGCAGAGTGGACTCTGCTGATCTAAAGGTTTTTTATTAAAAGTGGTTATTACAATATTGAAATGAGTAACATTTGGAAATATATTTGTTGTTGTTGTTAGGTGTGACGGAGTTGGGTATGACTCTTAGTGATCCTGTGGACAGCAGAACCTCGCCCTCTCCTGTGCCATGCTCATGATCTCTCATGAACTCAAGCCATTGTTATAGTCACTGTGCCAATCAATCTTGTTGCAAGTTTTCCTTTCTCTCTGACTCTCTGCTATTCCCAGCATGATGTCTTTTTCAAGGACTGATAATATTTCCTGTCAAAATGCTCAAAGTATATGAGATAAAGTTTCACTATCCTTGCCTTTAAGGAAGACTCTAGTTTCACTTCCTCCAAGACGTATCTGTTCTTTTGGCAGCCCATGGAATATTAAGTACTCTTCTCCAATACCACAATTCAAGGCATCAAGTCTTCTGTAACTATTATTCATTGTCCCACTTTCAGATGCATACAAAGTAACTAAAATACAGATCTATATATACAATATATATACTATTATTATATATTTTATATAATATATATTATATATGTATATATATATGTATATATACTATTAAGTTCAAGAGAGGAAGACCTTGGATAAGATGGATTGACTCAGTGACTGGTGACTGGTATAAAGGGGGTAAGTGTGTCAGAGACAATAAGGTTGGCTCAGTATAGAGTAGTTGTTCAGAGCTATGACTAGCAAGTGACTCAACAGCACATGACAAGAACATATTTTATATGTATAATACTAAGAAGACCTCTAGTGGCTAAGTAGTAAGGAATTATGTTGCCAGTGGAAAGGTATATCGTTTGAATCTACCAGAGGCTCCCTGGGAGAAAGATGGGCAATCTTGCCCCAGTGCAATTTACTGCCTTTGAAAACCCTCTGGAGGGTCAGCCAGCTATTGTTCAGTGCTGATTGGATGGTATACAACAACAGCAATGCTAATAGAAACTCACCTCCACCTAGGGAGACAGCAAAGGAGATGGCAAGAGCTATTCAGCTAAAGCTAGACAGCCAAGGCTAAGATCCCAGTTATCCTGCTGACAAGTCATACTATATGACTTTGGACACACTCTATGGATTCTCAAGACCTTCATTCTTCATCTGTAACATGGAAGCAGCAATAGCATGCTTACAAAGCTACTGGGTGAATTAAAAGATTGGGCTGTTAATATAATTCTTCTATATGCAAAGAAATATCACAAAAAATATGCCTTACTTCACAAGTGACAAATAGAAATAATTTGTATTATTTGCCTAATGGTATGTGATAATATCCATGTGAGTGCGAATGTCAAATAGTAACTAGAGTTAAGTGCCAACACTATCTGAGATCATCTTAGAAGTTAAAAATTACTTGTTCTTTAAAAGAGTTTGTAAATAAATTGACCTAAATAATGGCACACTCTCCCCACCACCATGGATATGTTTTAAAAACAAAATCAACTGCATTTCTTTCTTAAAACAACTACAGTTATTCCCAGACAAATGAGTAGGGATATTTCTTTCTAGGACTGATTTGGTAAAAGCAAGTTGTACTTATAACACAGGAAATCTCTTCTGGAAATCAATACAGACCCTTTTAAAAAAAGCTCCTTGCTGAATCAATTGAGGCTTTTCCACTTTAGGCAATACCATTTCATCTCATTAATTTAGTAAAATATTTTCTATTTTGAGATTTCTTACAAAAAGATAAACAGAATGAAAATGTCTATACCTCTTTTATGCTAGCCACTTCACCTGCAGCTGCTTATATTATACAAACATCCAAAAAAGTCCCTCAAGACAATTATCAACATCCTTGTTTCACAAAAGAGGGAATCAAGGCATAAACAGGAACTGGTACCCCAGGAAGTCATATCAACTGGCTACTTCTCCATCACAATCCTTAAAATCACAATATTTAGTTTGCCAATGGCATATAGTGCAATATTTTCACATGCTCTGATTTTGTACTTCATGAAGGAACAGCCTGAAAAGTGAAATCACCGAGGCTTCAACTTAGGCTAGGACTTAATCTGTATCAGAATCTAAGTGAGGAAAAGAGATTTTGTTGAAAGAGAAGGGTGGTGGTAGAGATCTGGAGACCCTTTTGGTGACT